TTACCCCCCGGACAATTACCTATCAGGTACAATTACCCACCCGGAAGATTACCCACCCGGACAATTACCCACCAGAACAATTACCCACCAGGACAATTACCCACCAGGACAATTACCCACCGGACAATTACCCACCAGGACAATTACCCACCAGGACAATTACCCACCGGACAATTACCCACCAGGACAATTACCCACCAGGATAATTACCCACCAGGACAATTACCCACCTAACGTTCCAATAAGAAAAAAATTCCCCCTTCCCTAAATTTTTGTAACACATAATTTTCCATTATATCGCAATATATACATCTAATGATGTATTCAATAAATTCCAAATTTTAACAACCGCTGGAGGGGAGCAGACTGCAATTTCAGGCAATCGATAAATCGAACGCTTATGGTAGGATACGCGAGCGTGAAGATGCACAGAAGGACTCAGCATGCGACCGATTAGGCGCGGGGAGCGACGCTCGCGCGAGTATCGCCAGCACTGTCGCGTAGGCAAAGTATTACTTAATGTACGGAAAAGTAATTTAGTGGGTGTCGCGTCGCTGCTGTTTCTTGATTTACGCGAGTTTGCATTATATATATTGTGATATCATCACTGTACGGTGTGTGTGGTGGGGGGGGGGGGGCTAGGGTAATCGTCCGGGGGGTGGGGGTAATTGTCCTGGTGGGTAATTGTCCGGGTGCGTAATTGTCCTGGTGGGTAATTGTCCTGGTGGGTAATTGTCCGGGTGCGTAATTGTCCTGGTGGGTAATTGTCCGGGTGGGTAATTGTCCAGGGGGTAGTTGTTATATCATATGTGTTCTATGTGTTCTATGTGTTATATCACATGCAGGAAGCAAACTCAAGCATAGGTAAGTAAGTTAACTATTATTTACACTCCTGCATACATATATAGATATCTATGAGAACAAGTATCAAAATAGTTAGAATAATAATCGAAATTCGTTTAATTTCTGCCAACATTATAAAAACAGCATGTGTGTAAATAGGATTATACCAGGAGTAGGTAATAGGGAAGTAGAAGGTAATAGTACTTGTTCTATGAATCAATGTCCGTAGAGTTAGTTTTCTTCCAATGTCGGCCACTAGATGGCAGGAGTACACACGACGTCTTACACAATGGCGGATGACGAAAAACGGGAACAAATGGAAGTAGGATCTGGTGACGTAGATATAAATGACAAAAAGCCCGACAAGATGTTCGGATTAAAGAAATGGAATCTTGTAGCAATGTGGAGCTGGGATGTCGAATGTGACACATGCGCAATTTGCAGAGTGCAAGTTATGGGTAAGTAGCGAGGGGTATCTTGAGTGTTGACTGTTGACCTTTATTGTCTGACCACTGTATAATAGTTAATACTAATAGTAATAGTGTATTCTCTGTAACACTAACATTTATCAAATGGCATTTATTGATGTCGTTAAAATGACGATTTATTTTAGTTTAAATTAAATTTATTTGTGTTACCAGTACTCAGTAGGGCAGTACTGAGTACGGTAGTCAGTACAACTACAACTTAGTCAACTATTCTCGAAACTCAACTATAAATGTGAAGTATAAATGCTATAAATATAATGAATTATTATTATTTAGACTTTGCTGAGTTTGGTCTGATCAATAATCGAATGAATTTGCAAACCTAATAGTAATACTAATAGTAATACGCAATAACACTAAGTACTATAAGTTGTAATTAAATACTATGCATGAATTACAGACACGTGCCTAAGGTGCCAAGCAGAAAACAAGCAGCAGGAGTGTGTTGGTGAGTTCCCATTTGCTGGAAATCAAATTCAAGTTGAACTTTACCAATTTAGACGTACTGCAATTTTATCGGAACTTTAACGTGATTGCACAACTTACGTGTGCATTACACAGGGCTTAGAATACTGAGCCGGATCTTTTACGCTGTTTGTTACTAATCTATGTCTCGTTATTTATGCGTTCGTTGCAGTCGTGTGGGGAGAGTGCAACCATTCGTTCCACAACTGTTGCATGTCGCTATGGCTAAAGCAGAACAACAGATGCCCCCTCTGCCAGCAGGAGTGGGCTCTGCAGACCACAGGAAAATAGGGGGCAACACGCGTCACGGTTGCCGCGACGACGGGGATCGCATACGCACGGAAGCTGGACGATTAGGCTTGTTTGTGTTGACACTGCCCGTGAGGTGGTAGCCACTGCGTGCGTGCGTCGCCGGGGACTGACCGTGAGGAGGCGTGAGCTGCGGGGAGGAGGCGTGAGCTGCGGGGAGGAGGCGTGAGCTGCGGGGAGGAGGTGTGTAGGAGAGCGGCGGATGTAGTCCATCACGAGATGGCGCCACGATCGCGACGCCGAGACGGCGGCGAGAAACGTGACTCTACGGGAAACGCGCGGTCGATTACTCCTCTCGCGATCCCAGCACACCCGCTGTGTGCATCTGTGCGCGTCGGGACATGCTCTCTTGTTTCTTTGCAACACTGGAGCGTGAGGACGACGCTCGGAGCCACGTTGACGGTCGAGGATTCCCGCGGGGAGTAGCGGCGCCCCCTACGTGCGAGGCGGGCCGATCGAGATGGAATTTGACTTTGACATTAACCGTTTATTTCCGGAGGAGATCACGATCGTTGGACCAGATCTCGCTCCCTTCGACTCCTCGTCGCGATGCCGCGGCATCTCTGCCTACGCTCAGCAGGTGGCGCTAGTAGTGGACGCGATGGGCGAGGCGTCGGCGAGGGCGCAGGCGCTGCGTCAGCCAATCACGAGCGCGGTCAAGCTGCGGCCGTCTCAGCAGCGAGTCTACCTGCTGAAGGACGAGCGAGCGAACACCACCAGGGGCGCTGTAGTCGGCTTCCTCAAGGTCGGCAACAAGCGGCTGTTTGTGCTCGACGCTCGCGGCACCCAGCACCAGGTGGCTCCACTCTGCGTGCTTGACTTCTACGTGGCCGAGTCGCGGCAGCGGGCCGGCGCGGGACGACGACTGTTTGAGCGCATGTTGGAGGCAGAGGGCGCCACCGCGAGCGCGCTGGCCGTCGATCGACCGTCGCACAAGTTTGTGTCGTTCCTGGCGCGACACTACGGACTTCGTGATCAGATACCGCAGGTTAACAACTTCGTCGTCTTCGATGGATTCTTCTCCGGCCACCCGCCAGATGGCGCCGCCGCACCGCTCCCGTGCGGACGCCCCGCGGGAGAGCGCGGAGGCTACGGCGGCGCCACCTGCCCACCGACGACGAGGTTTGAGCGAGAGCGCAAGAAGGCAAACGGTGGCGTCCCCGCTCACCAGCAGGTGGCGCCGTGGTACGGGTCGGAGCGGGCGGCGGGGGTAGCGACGCGGGCGGGGGCGGGCGTGTTCAGCCGTTACTCCGCCTCCCCCACCCTCCTCCCCGCCACGCCACGCACACCGAGCCGCGGACCTCCGGTCGTCACGGCGACCTTGCAGGAAACCGGGGGTCGTCTGCTGACGGTGGACCTCACGGGGCGGAAGGTCGCGGCTCAGGGGAAGGAGGGGGAGGAGGAGGAGGAGGAGGGCGGGGGGATGCAGGATGCGTGCGGGGTGAGGACGGGGATGCCGGAGGTCGCCGGCGGAGTGCGACGATACGAAGACCTCGCCAAGGACACGTCGTGGAAGATATTCGGCATGCCCGCGGGCATCGGTGGCGCCCCCGCGGGCATCGGTGGCGCCCCCGCGCCGCACGCTCGCAGTACGAACGGTGGCCTGTGGTGACATCTGGTGGGCATGCCGGGTGCATCCGCGAGTGTAGTGGTGTCACATTTGTGAGTGTAGTGGTGTCACATTTGTGAGTGTCACCGACTCACCGTGTCACACCAAAATCACCCGTGTGTTTCTATGTCACGTGAGTGGTGTGGTGTGACATTAGTGAGTGTTACGGTGTCATGTAAGTGTCATGATGTCACCGTCAGCATTACAGAGCCGTGTTTACAGGTTCACAAACCAGTGAAATCTACATAGGGTTGGGTAAAATTCATGATTGCAACTTGAACGTAGAACCTAGCCAATGAGGAAACGTTTCTTGCGACGTCATTTATGTGTTGATTCTAATGTTTATTAAGCATAAAGAGTAGGAGATCTGGGAATGGAATCACGTGCGTGCGTCCGAGCGTGCGTGCGTGAATGCCAGGGCCGGATTTAGGACAGGGCAGTTGCCCAGGGGCCTCCACAACCAGGGGCCTCCACATATTTGATGAAAAAACATGTTGTAAGGAAAAATGTAGGCTGACCTGAACGACACGCACGTATCAATGAAAACCATATTGCGCGTTTTACGTCATACATATGCAATCCATATTTTGTTTGTTTGTGAGTGGTAGAAACAGCTAACTGGTTGTTTTCCTGACATTGCTCAGCACACGTCGGTAGACAAACATCTCAAATCTAACGTCATCCATCTCAACGTCGATTTTCTTGCTTGCTTATTCAGATTGTTTCTACTTGAACAAATTTACTTTATGGATGACTGTAACTATATTTCTTGTCACCTTTTAGTTTTTAGTATGCTAAGGTTAGGTAGGGTGGGCATCCACTTCTGAAGGCTGCCCAGGGGCCTCCACATGTCTAAATCCGGCCCTGGTGCGTGAGCGAGCGACCGTGCATGCGCGTACACGTACGTGACTTCGATGTGATAACGCGTGATTGCAGCTGCGTTATATTCCCGGCCCCTCCACTTAGTGTTATTTAGGGTACGCATATGCTCGTTCCCTCCCTTTGAAAGCACCCCCCTATCTCAGGACTGCTAAAATTTCTGAACCCGCCTTTCGCGTTTTTTTTTGCGGGTTTTTCCTGCCTTGGAGACCCCTAAATCCGGAACACTGCTCAATGTACCCCCTATTTCAGGTGAGCTCTCATTCCAACCGTAGTGACGTTAGTGTAGCGTGTGGAACTGTCGAACCAGTCTACACTACGTAGTGTAGAGTTCAGATGATACGAGGGGAACTAAGGGAGCCAATATTATTTACATTTCAAATATAAATAATCCTGAATGAGCTTTCAAAACTAGCAGGCGAAATCAGGAATTTGATCCGCGGAATTGATAAAGTTTCGTATGATATTCAAGATGAAAGAGAGAGAGGGAAAAACACCCCTTTTTAAGAAATCTCCGGGTGAAAAGTACAATACACCCCCTTTTTAACAATTCTTGGACCGGTTTTGTCGCGCGAAAAATACCCCTTTACCGGAGATTTTTGGAACGCGCATGCGGTCCCTCCGACCTCGGAGGGGGGGGGCGGGGTTATATTCCTGAACTCTTGCATCACGCGGTGCAAACACCACGCTCAGTTGTCTAGTAGGCTACTAATATTTGCTGTCTACCAGTTGTCTAGCTCACTAATGTTGTCCTGGGAAAGTGAGAAACGTGACGATGGACGACGCAGCTGACTTGGATGTTCAGATGTTTACGTGGGCCTCGATGTTTGCGCCTGCTAATATATTCTGATAAGTTATTTCTGGAGGCATCTAAATGTTCAATGTGACAAATGGAAAGTCTGTATCTGTCTAATAGGGTTTGTTACAGTTCTATAATAGGAAAGTTCTCGATGTGGTGTCGTTCATAATTATTATAATTGATAAATTATAATTAATAATAAATAGAATTTTGTTAATATTTGTATTCCTATTAAATCTATTTATATTGTGTTTCATTGTTGTTTTACTATCACTTCATTTTCTTCAGTTTTTCTTGTGCATGAACTGTCTTTTGAGAACTATGTTAAGTATGGCAAGGCAAGTGCTAATGCAATACAGTTACTATCGTCATCGTATACATGTTAATAAGAGATAACTAAAAACAGAAAAAAAATAATTCAGCTATCACAACGAGTTTATTAAATTAAATACTGGTTTTGCAAATTTCATTGTGAAAGATATTAAAAATATAATAAAAATAACGATAGATGTGCCCTTTGGCGCCATCTATATTGTTTACATCGCGAGTTATGTTGCTGGGAAAATATGAAAGTGCAAAATCGAATACTGGAATAGTAGAGTATCGCAGGTAATTCCTCTTTGTTGTAAATAATCAATTTTCATATGAGACAGATAGTTTTATGTACTATGCGTTCTAATTATAATAATCGTACTTAAAAACGTGATCAATAACTCGTTCAGAAATATAAGTTATAACTACAAACTGTCTGTACCACAGGCACTTGGAACGTCTCAATAAAAAAAAGAAGGTAAATAAACACGAAATGTACCAAAGTCTTAATGTTTCTCTACTCTATTTCGCCTATAATCACCTGTAAATGCCGGTCAAATGCTCATCTGCAACACACAAGTACACCGAACGCCCGCTCGCTCTGTGCTGCGTGCACAAACAACATGAATAAGAGAGCAGGTAGGAAAGCGGGATTGAAAAATTCGTTCGACGCTCGCTTCATTTCACACCATCACAGCTCGAATACACATCCTACAGCTTTCAGTTCCATCTTGGTATCTATAGGCGCGTTCACACGGACGTTTTTGGCCCGAGCCTAATTAGGCCCGTGCCAGATTTGGTCCCATCGAAAACGCCGGACCAGGCCCGAGCCATATTTTAGCACCAGCTTTCGGTGAGGGGTAGAGCGGTAGAATCGGTTGAGCGGTAGATG